CTCGTACGCCAGTCACTGTCACAGATTTACACACAAACTTCTGATTGCATTCGTCAAAGCATAAGACGGTGCCTCTACTGGTGGATCCTAAAGGCCTTCAACTTTTTCATCGCAGATTGACATTTCCATTTGAGGTTGTAGGATTCCATGCTCATGCCAGCATATTAGTCGGAGACTCCCACCGTGGTCTTTTTTGGCCTCCATAATATCTCTCTACAAAATGTTTCTATCTACCATTTTCTTTTATACATGTATGGTATATTAGATGTTGTTAATTATTGGTTCCAGGACATGGGACTGGTTGTCAAACCGTAGGAGGTTTCAGAGATGGTTTGATAGCCGTGAATCCAAAATCTACAACATGGATTGTCTTACCCTTGGAGCTACCAATAGAACTTGTGGATATCTGTTTTCCGTGTTTATGCCTTTATTTACGCCGTCTTTTTCTTTCAGTACATCGTCGAGTGGTGTCGGAAGAGTCCCTTCTTCTACACGAATTTCGCCTTTCACTTGCTCTCTCAACTTAGTCAGACATCCAACTTTGGTCATATCCTTCTGAACTTCCTTGTTGACAGATTGGAGAAATTGGGAGGTATGCACTTATCTCTCTCCCTATCTATCTCGGTCACTATAAGTGCGCTCGCCTTCTTTGTTATTTTTAACCAATGCATAGTGTATCTCTTTGTTTTCGGATCTCTTTGTCCTGTGCATGTTTGTCTTTTTGCAGCAGATTATGCTGGGTTGTGTTTTATTTTAGAGGGGACTGATGAATCCTTCATCTACATGCGACTTCTGAAACTGTGCTTCAACTCTGTAAACATGTCTGGCACCGAAAACGAACACGTGATGAGGGTGAGTCATTTTGTAGGATCTCCTAGGAGATAAGACGTCTGTTTATTATTTGAAACTTGCTCTTAACCTGGCCCAATTTAATCTTCGCAGATACGTGTTAGCAAAAAGTGAGCCTCTTAGTTTACGTATTTTTTTGCTGTAAATACCGTCTTGAATATATGGGTTACCCAGAATTGTAGTTACACAGAAAACCTTGTCTCATGAACTGATCATTCTACTCGGAACAAACACTGATCCACAAAACTGTGCTCGGCCTAGCGACCCGCAGTTCCTTACCGAGTTGACTGGTTAATGTAATCGAATGAGTATGTCCGGCCTATCTCAAACTTCAGGAAATTGATTTGTGAAACCCGGTCCCGATTATGGACACGGTACCACTCGTTTTTCCAAATATATCGGTGCGCCAACCTCAGGCTTAGCCATTCTGACCTCATTTGACCATTGAAGTGGAAAAAAAGCAAGGGGAATTG